CCTGCTGAAAGTTAGGGCTTTGTGGTAGCAGAAACAGAACAGGTATTCATAATCAGAAAGCTGTGTGGTTCATTCAGTCTCATCTGGAATACCTCCAGTCTCTCCACATCCATCTGCTATATAGTGGACTTCCTTTGACATTCAACTCAGTAACACAAAAGCAAAACACTCATTCCCACTCTGCCACTACCCCAAAGTCTTCCAGAAAGCTACAAGATAGTAGAAAGCCACAGGGTCCTGGCTTGTGTCTGCATAGATGAAAGGAATATTTGACATCCCCCATCAGACTCCTCACTGTTGTTCTTTCGTTCCTTGTGGCAGGAGATTTTACTCCTACACACGCCTTTTAGATAGTAACAAAACTACTTTCACTTAACTGCGTTTAGTCTGTTGCACTTGACTGAGGTAATCATGTAGGCTCTCCTTTATAACTGAAATGGCCATGTTCAGACAGCAAGTCATCTGAAAATAAGGACAGGCAAATAAATCGTTTCTTTAAATGCTCATCTCTCCATGGCTAGAGAAATCTAGATGACTACATCTAGCTCAGTCAGATGGCTCACAGTCACTGACCAACACCACAAACTAGCCTTTATTTCAGAAGCTCAATGAAAAGCTTAAGTCATGCTGCCACTCTTTTCAGGCAGAACGCTAAAGAATCTCACACGCTGAAGTCCTTCATCCCCAAAGGCACTGCATTAAGGCATTCTTATTTTGCTAGAGTCCACACAGGCACTATTTGACAAGCCCATACCCAAAAATAAACCACAAAAATTCCCTGCAGAAGAGCAGGAGCAATAGCTACCCACTCCTCCTCTACTTCCCTTTCCTCTAAACTCAGAGGACCCTCCCTAAAGCTGCAGCAGCTGTTGAAGAGTCTAACCATGCTCAGTAGAGCGCTTCAGAGTCCTATACAGAAGACAAATTAAAACCAATAAAGAAATCAATGAAGAAGCTAGGTGGAAAGGAAGGGAAGGAAAGATTCAGGGGCAAGAAGAGACAGGCAAGGGGACAGTAGGTTGCAGACTGAAGGAGATACATTCAAGTAAAAAAGTAGACTGGAGACAAAGCAATAGGAAAAAAAGGAAAGAACAAAAGGGCAAGTTACACCAAAGGTCCCCCAGAGACCTCCAAATCCCCCACTAGGGAAAGGGGACTTGCCAACCCACCCACTCCAGGGTAAATGCCCCTCATACTTACAGGTTTACCTGACCTGGCAGACAGAATTTCCCATTTCTACAATGATGGCCACCCCCAATTCCTTCCGTTACCATGTAAAGCATACCATTTCCACAATAAGTATGGGAGTTCCAGCACCACCACCTCCCTTCCCCAAGGACTGAAGTTAACACTTATGCAGCCAAGACCCTCCAGATCTCAAACCAAAAAGGAAGAGTTTAAAGTACTCTAGAGTTGGTGCTTCTTCACCTTTGATCCTGGGCTTTTCGGTACTTACTTACAATCACCACCACCACAATGGCACAAATCACTCCCATCATGATCATCATCTGGAGAGAGAGATTGTCAAAGAGTAATACTCAGAACAGATCGACAAGTTCACATCTTCCCTGACAGCCAGGGAACATAAGCCAGACCCTGAAGGTAGGACAGCCAAGGCCTCAAAGTCTCTCCACAGTGAAAGAATCCTAAGCATGTGAAATAGCTATTAAGCCCCAACTATCCTCTCAAAGCCCCGCAGCAGAAGACTAGCCCAATTTCCTTCTAATGAAGGAGATCATGGCACTAGGAAACTCACCTTGCAGTTCTTCCACCAGTACTTCCTTTTGAGTTTTGCTGCGCTACTTTCAAATTGTGAGGCACCGGCCTGAAGTGCATCTGCCCGGTCATCTAGCTCTGACAGTTTCTGGTCTCGTTCCAGCACCTTGTCTACATTTACACGCATTATATCAACCACCTGCAGAAGGAAGAATAGTAGCAGCAGTTGTATTGGTAGAGAGAGTTGAAAAAGCAAGAGCAGTAACTTGGCCAATAACTAACACTAAGGTACTAACAAGTGAAAGCCCTAAACAAAGAAGGATATGACACAGCTTCCAAATCGCTGCCTACTTTGAAGTGGGGAAAAAATTCTAGACCCCCTCTTAAAGAATCAGTTCAAGTACACTTAAACCAGGTCCTCAGCCCAACATTTCTGTTTTTAAAAGCTCTCAAATCCAGCAAGCCTAAGCCACCCCCCTCATGAGAGTAAATCATATGCTCGCTCCCCGGTAACTGCAAAGGTAAGTTAGAGCTACATGTTGCTGCCCCAGTGAGGCATAAAGGCGTTACTGCACGTCAGCAGCCACGCTACAGACACTGACCGGGGAAAGTCAGGCAAGGTTCCCCACACATCACACATTGAGCCTGCACACAGACCGTTCCCTTGAAGCAGCAGGCAGGGATTAAGAGCTGTTCTGGATGCTGCGTAGCTTTATTACCATAACAGATGCACGATACAAGGTACCAAAAATCTAACAGAAGTCATACCTGGAATTAAGCAGCTTTTAAACATAAAGCAATTTCATCTCTCCTCCAACCTCTTTATAGGTCCGCCGTCATACTTTGAGTATTGAGCATTAACACATTTCTGGTATTAGCATGACAAGAGCATCCACCCCCTCAGCAACAGACGCTTGTCAAGAACATCGCTGCTGCAGAACAGCAGAAGAAGAGTCCAGGCAGCCTACGGAAGCCAGCACAGTTGGCAGGGCTACTAACCTCCTCCACTTGGGCCTGCGTCTGCTGCAGCCGACGGTTGCTGCTCAGCTTGGGGAGGGACCCAGGGGGGCCCCCGCCAGGGGCTCCCCCTTCTGGGGCCCCGGGAGCAGGTTGCTGAGCTGGGTCAGACCTAGGGAAACACACATACGGGCAAAGAGAAAACCCAGTCGGCCACTCAAGAGAGAGGACACCCCCGCAAAATCCACCTGAACCCCAGTGCCCCCGGCTGGGGCAGTGTCAGCAGCAGCCCCGAGGGCCCGCGCCCTCCCTGGATCCCCCCGGACCGGGAGCGCCCAGAGCAAGGACAGGCCCAGGAGGGCAGCGGGGAGGGCCAGCCCCGGGGCG